AAAAAAAAAAAAAAGAAAAAGAAAAGAAAAAGAAAAAGATTAATGCAAATAAATATGTAATCATCGAGTAGGGGATTATTAAACGCCATGGTCTGAGTACTGAGGATTTGTCCCTACGTATCTTACAAGGTGATAAGTGACAAATGGCTCGGCTCTGTTGCATGTCCACACTGTAGGTGTATTGTTTCGCTTGGAACCCTGTAAGAGACTGGAACCGGACAAGTTGGTCTTGGCCCCTTCGATTATCATCGAATTATGCGTCCCAACTGATTTCTCTGAGTCTGAACCCTGCTTGCGGATTTCGCCTATGTGACTAGCAGAAGTGCAAGATCCTCAGGATTATGGAACGCTCCATAGTCGGAAGATATCCGTTTTGATTGATCAACGTTCAAACTCGTCTGACTTGCTACGAGCATTCGTCACCGAACAATGATCGTTAGGACTAGTGTGTATTGCCCAGCATACAGTAACATCATTTGAACATTATTGTTATTATGTTCTATCCTTGAGGAACGATGCTCCTCGTAATCGGGTGAAGAGTGAACCGTAACCCAATGATGGTCTGACCAACAACCCAAACTGGAAATAAGCAAAGAGAAACCCTAAGATACAGAGGCCTCCGTAACATTGATAGACTGATAACGTCTGTTTGGAGCCAAACGTTTGGAGTAGCACTAGGGGGTATGGCGACAGTGTGATTTCAGTTTCTATTGATTTTTCCCTTTTTTCTTTTTGTGTTTTTTACATTCGTTCTTTTAGGTTCTTTCTCTAACTTTTTTTTTTCCTTTCGAATCAGTTAGTTTCTTAATCCCGTAACTAACGATCTGGACAGATGATCCGATGTGCGTCAATGGATTCTTGGCTGTTCTGGCAATTAGTACCCACGATCGCAACCGATTCTCTCGTCATGGTGTAGTTGAGAGTAGTCGGGAACCATTGGCGTGCAACAAATCAGAAGGTCGAGTTCGCATTTCCCCAGTATTTTGGGGCTGGTTCTGGGCCACCACACGCAGTGTAATAAATTTACACCACCGGTCCGATGTGGGCTCATTTGGTGTTCCAGAACTCCAGAAGGAAGTGAGCATTGAAGTGGAGCGGCTGAGCAGATTGGTAGTTTATTATCGTCATCAGCATCATATGCGATCCCCAAATTGTCCAGTGGTCCGTTGAGATCCATCGACGAGGCTGGAAGTTGAATCCTTGGGTCGTTTGTCATCCGAGCACCGCGGCGGACATACGGCGATACGAGACCGACAATGGCTGTCGTTAGTAGTTACGCGGCGATCAAAGACGCGCCTGGGTCGAACACCAGACTATGACTCTTGGTCTTGCATGGAAGAAAAGCCTAACGAAAGGGGCTGCAGTCGCTGAATGGAACTTTCTCATACTCCGTACATTGCGTCTGATGGAGCTTTGCCGTTTCAACCGACTTATGAGCCTCTTTTTCTTTTTTCTTTTTCTTTTTTTTTTTTTTTTGCCTTTTTTCTTTTTTTTTGTTAGGTACTGGAGGATAAGGAGGATTGGTCACCCTCCGGGGCGGCGTATGTTGCCATAGTCAGGGCTAGACCGACGGTCTGCACTATTGAGTTGCGTAGATTGCCTTTTTACCTTTGTTTTTTACCCGCCTCCTTTTACTGCCTTTCATATGCCTTGTTATCACCTTGTCTAGCCTGTCTTTTTCTTTTTAATTTTGGGGTTTTGGTTGAAAGATCTGCCCAGTATGACCAATTAATTTGCTCCTAAACCGAACACCACACGTAAACCAATCATTATCTATAAATCAATAGTTATACCGAGTTTCTCTCCCGATCATTTGGCTTTTTTCCAAACCTTTCAAGCGAAGAATCAGTGAATGAGGAAATTTTCTGTGACTACCTGTTATGATCAGCTATTGATTTGTATATCATGCATCGTCGCGCTAGCAGTAAAGAAGCAGCCGCCCCTCCTAAAACAGTAATAGTGATGATAATAAAAAATCCAAAACTGAAAATAAAATAAAAAAAAAAAAAACGAAAAATGGAATGAAAGAAAAAACAAAAACTTTGGAAGGTCAAATCCTTGTCCAACGGATCAAGCTGCTTGCCACACAACATTGACCGAGGCTTTGAATCCATTTCCTGTCACCGCCACTACTGAAGAACGTAACCTATACGACTATCATTCAATTAACATTACGGATCAACTGGTTATGGAACCTCTACGCAAGTAGTACACCATTATCTCCATAGCTATCGTGCCACCACAGGTCTACAGAAGGGTCATCGCTTAGTTTGAAAATTGCGACTCGACCAAAAGGAATAATTTCGTCCCATACGTTTTCACCCGGATCTCAAATCAACCCATGATAATCCACCCCAACTATTGCGATCGTTATGGTTCCCTATTATCATGATTTGATCCGCACTACCCACCGAGAGGAAATGCAAATGAAATCTAGTTGTTGCTACGCAGGTCGACCGCGCACGAAAATGAACTAGGGCCTTTTTAGCATTCTTCACTTTACTATGGAGTACTACACTACCCCTAGTATGCAGCAGCCTGGGCATTGATTCCCCAATGAGCTTGGAATAGTAACCTCCATATGCTCACGGTGGAATTTCAACCCGATGTCGTTTCGGGGCATGTCCGCCCGTACTAGTCCGACTACTCCTCTTCTGGGCGCAAAAACGGTGGATTATCCCCTGCTCGAGCGTCTCAACACCCGACCTTGGGGAAAGCGTGATCATGTCTGATTTTCAAGATTGATAGAGCGGCCTAGGTGCGAACACCACTCCCAGCGTGTGAGAGTGGGAGGAAGCTTGTGTATGTGTCGGTCGGATCTTGGAAAGTGTCTTCTACTCCTTGATACGAGGGAGCGGATCATGGACATCCAAGCACCGCAAGGCTTGTTCCAGATCTTGCACCATGCACTCCTTGATGATATGGAATTTTTCTGTTTTACAACACATGGCTTTTTTTTTT